TTTTCTACAATAATTTAACAAAACGTTAAACTTAAAACTATACAAAGAAGCTATAGAAAATAATTAATTAGTTAGTTTTAAATTATATTTTTATTTTGTACGCAATGTTAGGTTTTTCTTAACCAGCTCTCTGCTATTAAACTCCTATTTCGAATGTGAACTGCGCACAAAAGTATGCTACGAACTGCATAGTGGGAACACCTTTGTAGTGCTCCTAACAATTTTCAGGTGCTTACATGTTCAGCAAGTTCACAGCCGTTTATTAACTTTACGCATCGTCGGCTTTCCCTTTGCCTGAACGCTCTTGAAGTTATGCAAATGTATGCGCCGTTAAAGTGTTAAAGCACCAATCCGTATGCCTAACCACAATTTGCCTGCCAAAATGAAGTGAGAGAAATAAAATAAAATAAAAACTAACGACGCACATTTTTTTTGTTTTTTTTTTTTTTTTTGAGGGCTACATACATTGCTGATAAATTTCAATGAGTCAGAAGCAGAAGAGCGCAGGAACGTGTGGTTTGTGGCACATAGGAAAATTCTTGCTAAAAAGAGCTGCAAAAAATAATGTAAATTGCTTGCTACGCTGCGTTTAAGCTCTTGGCGTGTCAAAAGCAGATAACGCTCCAACAGTATCCGTCCAATGCACCCCGAGTGTTAATGCGCGGTCGATAAACTCATTAAGGCCGCAGGTGAACGCTATTGAACTCACCTCAGTCAGATATTCGCAGATATTTTCAACTTTTCGGGGTATTTGCTGGCTTCAAGAACACCCTTAGAACAACGGGTGCCCCAACTTTCAATACTCTGTACCTATGTACGTCTATGCATCTGTATGTGTGTGAGCATGTGCTTAGTATAGAGTTCAGCTAAAGCAGCAGCAGCAACAACAACAGCTGCGGGCAGAACTAGGGCAGAGGTTATCCGGATTAAACTACGTATACGGCAAACACATAATCATTAACTGAAAGTATTTGCCCAATTTAATTGCAAAATTCCAAGAATTATGGGAGCTTGGAAAAATATGAAAACTCTGAATTCTGTTCTGTTCTGTTCTTGGATTATAATTTGGTGTCTCTAACGCTTATAGCTCTTATAGTTTCCAAAACATAGGTGAATACACAAACGACGCGACGGAAAATTCCCTATAGGGGGCGAAATACATTTGTCCCTCATTCCAGACTAATGGTACAATACTTGTACTTAAAAAAATGTGACTCTTGCTATTATATTAGAAATCTGACTTACGCCAAAACAGGCTCTTAATTGTTTGTTGTAGTTGAATTTAAAATGCATCTTATTTCAAATAGACTTTGAGAAATATATACATATTCCAAAATGTTTTCTTTATAAAATATTCAATATGATGTTGACTTGAATGCTGCATATTGTTCATTTGTTTTACATTTGAACTTCAACAGCAACCCACTCATCATGTGCACTTATTTAATCCAATTTTTTCATGCAATGCAGTGCGTTTAAAAGAAACATGGCTCAAAAGCCGTGCGGCTCAATGATGTGGATTGCATTGCTTGTGCGCAGCTTTGCGCATAATTGAGAGAAATGTCAGTGTCATAATGTAATAAACGATAAACGCGAATGAAAAACGTTTCATGTTAAGTAATTAATTATGCCTTCTGTCGTTATGCGTTACACGGCATTTTCCGATTGATTCAACGTGCATCCAATTTAAACAAATGAAATGAAAATGAATTTTTCAGCACAACACTTAACGCAGCTAATAAAGTACCGAGCTTGCTGGCCACGGCCAGTAAAAATTAAAATTTAAATATAATTTAGAAAATATGCACATTATATGGCACACACACACACACACACACACACACACCTTTTCACTTTGCAATTCAATCTAAAAACAATTGCATAAAATTATGCTCAACAAAGCGAGAAATTAGTTTTTTAGTAGCAACATTTGCGCTGTCAACGATGTCAAGTTGGCTGGAGCGGCGAGTCGGGGGCCGGCATGGTGTCTGGCAGTTGACGATGGCAAGTGCAAACGTCGTGCTGCTACAGTAGCAGGAGTCGTGTTGGGCTCAAACGGACACATGTACACGCATATCAGACAAAGGACGACTGACACGCACAGCAGAACAGTTTGCACTGAGCCAGTGAACAAGTAAGCCAGAGCCCAACGTGGCGTATGAGCAATGCATGCAGATGACGCCATTTACCAGCTGGCCATTTGTGGCAGTTGGTTGGCAAAAGCGCAGACTGTGCTTGTATACTTGTATGTGTGTGCTCCTATGTAAGTACATACATATATACATATGTGTGTGAATGTGTGAGTTTGGGTGTAAATAGAAGAGTCTCCTCGACAAACATTTACTTTGTGCCGCCCACACAAATAAGCAAACACATTGGCCAGACATGGGCATGGACATGGGCATGGGTATGGGCTCGGCACGGTCATAGGCATGGGCATGGGCTTGGGCTTGGGCTAAAGTAAAAGCCACTCAAGCACAAGTAACTTTGGCACTTTTTGTTATTTTCCTATGGGTACTTCGCACAATGTCTTGATTTAAGCGCATTAATAATTAAAGTCATTTTGAAAGCCGTTTGTAGGCCGGCATTGTGCTACTTAACGAAAATTCCATCTGCCGCTGCTTAGGTGTGTTTAGATCTCTGTGCTTGTGAGTGTGCCGGTGTGTAGCTAAGTAACCCTTCCCAAATTATATGCGCAATTACGAGTCTGCCTGCCAGACTGAGCCGAGTACAAGAAAAATATAAGCAGCTGCCTGCTCAAGCGACAACGACATGGTTAACAGCAAAGTTTATAAACAGTCGTCGTCGTACTTACCAAACCCAATTTAGTAGCAAATTCAGTTAATCTCATTACCAACGTCATTAAAATTTTGTTTGGGAATCGGTATAATAATCACCTTTCAGCTTATTTTAATGAAATAGACAATATAGTTGACTAGGTTATGATTGGCGTAATACTGCCAAGGCAGATGATTTCTTATTAATTCGCAGAGTTCAGCTAATTGGCGTATCGATAGATGCAACAGGGAGATGGGGTAAGTGGAAAATTTCTGGAGAGCACTAAGGAGGAAAAAATCTAAAATCTAACGACTGTCTACCCTTTTTCCAAAGAATATAATAGATTAGATACATTCAAAATATAATCAACTAAATTAAGTTGAGCCATAATAATAATATATAATAATTAATTCATGTATTAATAGTCACATATTACAATTAATATTCGAAATTAAACAAGAATTGAATGCTGGAGTCGAGCGGACCCAACTCTACCCTGTAACCAATTCAACAACAAAAATCAATGTCAAAAAATTGTTTTGATTTAATTTTCTCAATTTAATTAATGAATTAAATTAGGGCACATAGTAGTATGTTCATGTAATATACGCTTAGCATTAATTGACATCGGGATTGTGCGTGTACATTTGTATGTGAGCAGTATAGTACAGTTAAGTCCAGGCAGAGATTAAATTTAAGCATATAACTTTCTTAATGATACTGCAGATAATCAATTACTGGATGGAACTATAAAATTTTCAGTACAAATTCTAACGCCCGCTCACTCCCCCGATAATAGTGAATTTCTATAATTATCGTAATGTTTGCTTCGGCTCAACTCTGTACGAAATGTATTTTTGCAACTTTACGACTCTATGTACACGTTATAAATTTCTTAGTTTTACAAGTATTAAATAAATTTAATTTTAAAAAATAATTAAAATAATATATATTTAAAATGTTTTATTTTTGTGCTTGTTGTTGGTTGCCAAGAAATGCGAGTTTTACAATTTCTGCGGTTGTCCACAAGCCTTGTTAAACCATTTACAAGTTTATTTGAGTCAGCTTATTGCACAAAACAACTATTGGAGTGACTACTTGTACAGTTGGCATATGAAAGTGCAAAATAGTTGTGTTATGAGAAAGCAGAGACGAACATAAGCAGGGGGGAAAGCACTTCCACCGGACTCGCTCAAAACAACACAGGGAGCAATTAGGCTACAGTGTTAACGGAAAAGTTGCCACTAAGCAAGGCAGAGGTGGGCCATGACAGTTTGGGCCAGCTTGCGAAACTCGTATGCATTTCCGGTGGTACCCGTCAACTTTCGCTGTGTGTTTATATTTTTCGAGGGGCAAATGCTTACAGTAGTCGGCGAACTAAGCCGCAAGGACCAAGCAATTACAGTGGTTTTGCAAATGTTTGTGCAAATTGGAAAACTGTTGTGGCATGAAAGCGCTGAAACAAATTTTCCTCTAAAGCTTACAACAAAATGTTAAATTACGTATATTGTTTTCGAAGTGCTACTTTTAGAGAGGGAATTGAAATGGATACGTTTTCCAGGTGCTTAGAACAAGTGCAAGTTCAATTCAATAAATTACATTTCGGGATGAAAATAAAAGAGCCCACAAATTATATACATATATTAGAAATATACACTATTTTATAAACATATACAAGACGAGTAAATACAACCAGCCCGTCTGTTCATCCGTTTGTCCATCTGTATGAAAGAAAGGATTTCAATATATGTAATTTCCTAATTACATTTATTTCTTAAAAAACTAGATACCTTTAAAAACGAATGACATTGCATTTCTAATATAATATTAAAAACATATAAATACACAAGGTACAATAAATACAAGAGCTAGAATAACAAAAGCCCTAAAAAATCAATTTTTTTTCTGATGCAAGTTATAGCAAAAAAAAAAAAACAATAGTCTCTGACAAGCTCTGCAGCTGTTGTTGCTCTATGGCTATGGTCTATAATATATATATTATAATATATTCCTTAAATAATTGAACGTTTATTAATGTGTGTATTACAAACCCTAAAGTTGAATAGTGTCCCATCGACCGATGACGCAAGTGCGCGAACTTCGGTCTCCACAATAAGAACTGTGTCAATCCAATCAGCAGGTCTAAAGGCAAACGTGTAGGGCTTCCCCGTGTTCTAAGGTGGCTTGCCTATTCAATCGCCAATCGACAGTCGTTCGACGGAATGGAACGTTGGCACAACAAAGTGGCAGTGGTGAGCGGAGCCAGTGCCGGCATTGGTGCCGCTTGTGCTCGAGCCCTAGTCGGTGCCGGGTTGGTCGTAGTGGGTCTGGCGCGTCGGCAGGAGCGCGTGGAGGAGCTGCGAGCCTCGCTTCCAGTCGCACAGCAGAAACAACTTCATGCGGTCAAATGTGACATTCGGCAGGAGGCGCAGGTGCAGTCAGCCTTTGATTGGGCGCAACGTGAATTGGGTGGCGTAGACGTGCTGGTGAATAATGCGGGCATAATTGCCACCACCGAGCTAAGCCAGAGCCATAACTCGGAGGCGATACGCGACACACTCGATACAAATGTGATGGGCAGTGTCTACTGCATTCGCGAGGCCTTTCAGTCTATGCGAAACCGCAACGCCGAGGGTCACGTGGTCATTGTGAACAGTATTGCTGGCCAGCAGGTGCCTAATCTGGGACCTCAACTGCCATCGCTCAATATTTATCCAGCCACCAAGTTTGCCTTACGGGCAATGAATGAAATATATCGTCAAGAGTTTCAACGCCATAAGACGCGCGTTAGAGTATCGGTAAGTGGTGGTACGACACATACGGTCTGTCGAAATATGTCTAAGCCGCCAAAATCAATTACAGACCATTAGTCCAGGCATAGTCAACACGGACATCCTACCGCAAGAAATTCAAGGCTTGATAAAACAGCATATGCCTATGCTTCGAAGCGAAGATATAGCGGACGCTCTCCTTTGGATAATTTCCACACCTCCTAATGTGCAAGTGAGTCGCCGACTTGGAAACAATTTAGTTTATGATCTAATTATGCTACTGTATTTCTTATAGGTTCACAATATTACAATCAAACCTCAAGGCGAAAAGTTTTAGTCGAAAATATGAAAAACGAACTAGAATTCTTTACTATGAAGTAATTACATACTACATATATGCGTTCTTAGGCTTAATGTGCTTCATTCACTTTTTCCTGATAACGCATTGTTTTATCTCAGCTACTAATTCGCGGGTGCAAGTTGATGCTTTAATCTTTTCATTATATTCTTTAATGAATTATTTAATTGGATCTATTGCGTACGCATGAGGCATCTAATACAAACAATATTTTATTATAATTATGTCTCTAAATTCCATAGATTATCTAAAGTACCTAAAGAACAATACTTGGAGCGGAGCATGCTTAAACGAAAATCACGTTACCAGTATTTAAAAACCCAACAGATTTTATTTCAAAACATTGCAACGATATTATAAAGCATTTATTTTAAGAGGTATAACAATTTATTTAAGATATTCACACAATTTTTGCTGATTAAAATGTGATACCTCTTGAAATTTAGCCAGGCTTAAAATAACACTATTAAGCAAAGATTTAAAACAATAAACCCATAAATTAATTGAAGTCTTGTAACGTTCCTCTGGCACGGGTATACAAGCCGACCAGAGTAGTTGCAAAATTTGATATTTGGGCATCCCGAAATAAAATAAAGTTATGTATCCGTTTTCAAATTATTTGGTACGGGAAGATCAGTGGGCTGCGCTAAGCAAAAAACAAAGTAAAGCTTAATATCATGGATGATGCCTTCGTGGCTGAACTTAGACTAAAACCGCCATTTTTTAATTAACATCGCCCTATCCTACTTACAAACTATTTCTCACCGTCGTGTTCAGTGGCGACACTATTCAAAAAAATGTTGAAGTATACAAGTTAAATGCTTTTATCTGTTATTTCAAACCGTTCAATTTTCATTGTCTGAAGATCGTGATGTGTTCGCATATTCCATTTAGTCTGTTCAGTCCTTCGAGAATTTTTCATTTGAATACAAATATGTGTTTTTAACAAACTCACTTGTTGTCTCATTTGGATATATGTACGTGTAACTCATTTGTTGTTATTAATCCAAAAATACTCATAAATATTTTTGAAAAAAATATGAATTGTGGGTTAATGGTCGAGGTTCCAATATAAAAACAAATGGAGAAGTTAAAATTCCGACTTTGAAATACTCTAATATGTGTAAAATTATTAAAATTTACAAAAATTAATAAAAAAGAAACAATAAAGGAATGCTAGAGTCGAGCAGGCGTAACTCTTAAATAAGTTTATCCAAAAAAATGTAACTAATTCAATACCTGCAAGACCTCCTATATAACAATAAGTTCTTTGGATCGAAAAGGTTCAATGACCCTAACTTTGAGCTAGAAATAGGAACTTTTTACTTTTCCGATTTAGGTATGACAAACTTTTTGCATTTTCTAATTAGTATTTGCTTTTTGCAATTCCAAAGAAACTATCATTAAAGCAAGTTGAACGCAATCCAACATGTTTAACATATTTATGTTAATTGCCTTTGGGATATTAGAGGAGGACGCGATAATCCTCAAAATCGCGCCATAATTGTATAATTTGAACTCACGGTGCTGGTTTGATTCAATAAGCATCGAATTTGCAAGTTCGACGCAAAGACGCAGCATTAATTCAACTAATATGTAATGCAGTGATATCTGAAACAGCACACCTCCATTAATGATAATTACATTTGCAAGTATGTTGTGAAACAACACGTAGACATAGATAACAGTCTTGTCACGTAAGCCCGTGTGTGGGTGAGTGTGTGCAGGCTTGTGTGCACCTGCACCTGCAACTGACTGACTGACAGACTGACTGACTGGTCTGCTATCCTGCAGACTTAATGCTGTCATAACGTGTCTGCAGGGAGGTGGTGGAGAGACAGGTAAGGATGGTGGTCGGCTAAGAGAGCATGTCATGCCATCAATATGGCGCTAATGTGGAAACAGTTGCTGTCGACTGCTAACTTCGTCGTCTGTTAATGGGCAAATGGACAGGAAATGTCATTAGTACAGTTTTCATAACCGAGGGAGCGAAAGGAAGATGCGACCTATATGAACATTCGATTACATCTGAGGCCTTCTAGTATAGTAATAGCAGCAGACACCAAGCTTGGTAAATGCAATCTAGGCTAGACATGAATGTTGGTTTATATACTAATGAAGGGGAGATCCATTAACAAGTGTCGTTAACTCATTTATCATGTTAACTGTCAGACAATTTTCTAAGGCCGTGTCTAGCAGTCGGTCGAAATGCCCGCCAATATTTAAAATGGAACTGTCTGTAAAGCTAAGGACTCTGGCGAAAAGCGTCATGGCAGCAAATACTGAGAAATTCAACAGGCAAAACGGCACAAATATCCAAAGAATTTTATTGTCAAAGCTGCTAAAATACCAACTTCGGCACCACAGACGACAATGCCAAGCAAAATAATACGTATGTATATACACATCTATGTATGAAAAGCACATACCAGACCGAAAACACAGTCGGGAGGCGGCGACGACAACAAGTCATAAAAATTCTATGGTCCGTGTCTTTATATATACTACTTGTATATATATGTGTGTATGTAGTATAAGTCTATATGAAACAGGACAGTAGTGGAGTATGATTCATGCGGAAATAAAGGCACTCGAGGGTGTTGTAAACACACGAAGAGCCACCGCAGCAGTGACAGCAAAGCTACTAACAAAAAAAAACAAAAAACGCGGCAATGTTCACGGAATTGGTCAAAGCGACAAACAAAAACAAAAACCAGTACAGACCTTGCAATTTCGCACCTTTGAGTTGGACACACACATATACACATACACGTGCACACAAACACACCGAGAAGAAACCCACATAAAGCACACACGCGGAAATGCCGCCACGCCATTTTCATGCACATTCTGTGTCATTGCCTGCCCACGGCTGTCACAATTGCCTGCCTGGTTACCTGCCTGCCTGCCTGCCTGCCTGCCTGCCTGCCTGCCTGCCAGCCTCCTCGCCCTTGCCAGATATGCGCAGTGCATTTTGTTGTTGTGCATATATTAATTCGCACTTTGATTGTTTCGTATTGCAATTTCATTTTATGACGCTTTTGGGCATTTTGGGGGGTAGGTTTGCTGGGGGATGGCCGGACCAGGTCGGGTTGTCTCAACTGTTGAAGAGTTCTTTAGTGCGCCGACTCACCATTTGTTCAACAGTTTGTTGCACAGACGAGAAAAAAACAAGACAGTATAACAACTCAGTATGACAACTCAAACTGATATTGGCAGAGAGACGGCTGGAGTATGAGAGTGCGAGTACGTGAGAGTACATTTTTTAAGTTATTGACTTGTTTTTATAAAAAAAATTCCCACACATTTTTTTATTTGTAGAGAAATTTAACTGCTGTTAAATATGCGTTACAAAATGTAGTGTTCTTAGTACATACAAATTAAATTCTGCAATTATAATCATTATCGTAATTAATTATTAATTACCGCATTTCCAAACCCCAAATTTTTCCATTTTATTACCCTGTATACAAAGGTTAAATACTATAATAGGCTCATTATGGCAAGACGAGATGATATAGATAGCCTATTGCCCCAAACCTTAAGCATCTTAAGAGTTGGGCTTGCTTTTTTTAGCCCCAACAATGGGCCACTCCAAGTTAAAAGAAATTCACCAAGGTTACAATATTATACAAAAAATTATAAATAAATAAAAGAAGTTACAATCCATTGGAGAGACTTAACAATTGGGCACGCTTTGTCCCGATTCACAGCTGCTTGTGGTCGAAGATTTCCATGAAGATGGCTAAATAGAGACATTTTAGTTGTGTAGAGAGTAGATGATAGAGTTTGAATATAGCGTTTCCATGATTTATGAGCTACCTACAAACTGAACAAAAATTGCGTTCAATTGTTATTTAAACCACTGTATGCAAAGAAAACGAAACTCACCTGTTAGCCTAGGCATCCTGCCATTTATGGTGAAGAGCACGACGCATTTTATGCTCAGTTTTCAAATTTAGTTGCGACGCGACTACGGAACGGTACAGACCTGTGAGCGCTTTATCAAATTCTCAATTGAAATTTCAATAAATTTTGAATTTTCTCACTTGAACACTTTAAAAACCCATATTTTGAGTGTTTAACTGAGAGGTGGTGCTTAAAATTAATCAAGTGTTGAAAGTATTTATTGTATATGATTTGCTCAAAAAATATCAACAAAACATCGAGTCGAGGTACGAAGTCGGACGCGAACGTTGTGCGAATTTTAGTTTGTCGTGGAACGCCGAACGCAACGGACGTGTGAAATTTAATGGGCTAGAAAAACGTTTTTCAAAGTGACTAGAATATATTAAAAATTATATATCTGTAAATGTAAATTACTAAAAAAATTAAAAGAACAAGCCGGTAAACGACTTAAAAATAGTTTAGAAATTTTACAAAACCTTAATCCAGTTTTAAACATTTCTTAGCAACTTTTCACTAGCTGCACCCAATTTTAGCCAAACTCCATTTTGGCTTTAAACCGTATAAGTGCATTTACTCATGCATCAAATAACAAACTAATATTGTGCGTTCCCTAAACACCTACATACCCATCTACTAACTCCGCTAAATACTAAAATTATTTCTACCTATTGCCCACTTATAAGAAATACCTGCACTTGAATGTTTGACGACGAGATTGACCTAGTTCCGTACGAATTAAGATTTCGTATTTTTTGCTTCGTTTTCCTAATTTCAATCCTTTTCTTATATTATTACGTTTACTTCTGCACCAGAGAAGAAGAACTTTATTTCGAAGAAGTGGCAGGTAAATATATTTCACAACATTCAATTTATCTTTACATTTCTCTTAGCTATACAAGTCAAATGCTGAAGTGCCCAAGTTGAAATTAATGTGTGGGAAACTTTTCTAAAGCTCACAGCTAAAAGTTAAATTACGTATATTGTTTGGGCAGTGTTAGTTTTAGCGAATGAATTAAAATGGAAAACTTTTCCACAAGCCCAGAACAAGTGCAAGTTCCACATAATTAATTACATTACGGGCTGAAAATAAAATCACGAGTAAATGCGTTTTTTCTCTACCGCAAATATTAATGGTATAGTGAGTCTATTTGGTTCAACAAAACGGTTGATATTATCTAACAAACAAAGTAATGAGTGCTCATCACGAGGCACATCATAAATGCAGATAAGCCAGTTTTGCGCAGTCTTTCACAGCAGCGATTACCATAGATATCGTCCTATAAATGATACAAATGTATATTTTTTGTAGCATACATTGTGGCGCACTGCATTAGTATATTATTTTCCATTATAGCGATGTGCCTGACGACTTTGCATTTAGTGGAAGAACGGTTTTTTGTATTCCCCAGAAGAGAAACTAATCTCTTTAACATTATAAGCTTATAGATTCGGCACAAATTCCTATTCACAAAAAATTTGAAATATGGCTCAGTTTGACGCATTAAATAAATCGGGATGATACTGTATTAGCTTTGACGCAATTTGAATTGCGCATATTAGCGTCGAACTATATAGATAAGACTTAATATGCGTAAAAAACGAGGAGCTAGAACCGACTATGTGCATAATTGTTTACCATTTAGGGTTCGTAAGCAATCTATTTTTGGTACTTATGTAGTCCACGAAGCCATGACAAATAATATTAAGTATACACAATGTATTCACTATACATACTTGCAATAACAAAGGAAGTGCAAGAACTGTGCTTAACTGCCGATATCCTTGACTTAGAAAATTGCGCTCTTTTTCATGTTTGAAATATCATTCGCAACACTTTTTATTTTTGTCCTTCACAGGCTTCAGGATACACATACAATAGGTAACAAAAAAACACTAACACTTACACTGCATAGCCAAAAAACAAGATCTGGTTAGTGTCAGCCTGGTTCAAGGGTATGTGCAATAAAAGCTAGCTTTGTATGCTTTTTATTTGTAGCAAATACTAACTATATTTGTACTTATAGCGATTTAATGGAGACTATTGTTTTTTATTAAGTATTTTTCCTAGTAGAATTTTGAACTTATAATAATTGCTTAGGAGCCGCTGTACCATGTGGCAGGAGACTTAACATTATTCGTTTTTCTGACACATGAGGACACGGCTCTTCAAATATTTACCAACACAAGTAGTAACCACAATTTTAATAAGTAACTTTCAATACTCTTTCTATAGCTTCCTTATATTCTAAATATATCTGCAGCTCTAAATATTATAGTGTGGACTCTTTAATTGGTGCCATTTTCTTTTACAGTTGAAGTCGAAGTGATTTCGCGTAATCTTTTGCTGCCAGGCCGTCGACACTACGCCGGGCAAGAGCAATGGGACTTTTGGAGGAATGACAACCACCGCCTCATGCATCACGGCTTAGAATCCCCCAACGAATGACAACAACAAATTAACAACCAAGAAGATTTATTTCATGTTCGGAGCTTGTAATTTTTATTTCGCATTACATATTATTTCCATTTTCGTTAAACATCAAATGAGGCTATCGCCAGCAAACTCCAACTCGTTGTAAGTCGCGCGCGTTCGTTTTAAAAATGTTGGGATTCTTTAAAGCCTAGCAAAGGCTTCACCGAAGGCCACAGCGATTGCTACCCAACATCAGTCATCAGCAACAATGTCTTACAAAAAGTAAAAAAAAAAAATCTGAAAAACAAAATAAAAAGCGGAGACGAAATACCAACAGAGACGCTCACAGTGAAGTAAGACAGCCACAACTTTTCTGGCATTTTGGTTTTGCGGATTCCGTTTGACGCTCACACGTGACTTTAATTTGACAATTCGGTTACTTTCTCGGCAATTGACAAATGTTTGGAGATTCTGTGTTAAGTTAACATTCAAAAGTTGTGGTGTGGCCAAGGTTAACATTAATATTGTGTTTGTGAAACAAAAACAAAATGAACTCGACGTCAAAATTAACGGAGTTATAAAAATAACCTTTGGATTTAAAATTTAATACATAAACGAGGTTGAAATCAAAACTTGTAAAATAAACAGCATAAGAATATTTCTTATAAATATACAATAAACAACATTTATAAATATACCAATTCAATCTACGGTATATTAAAATATTTAATCACATATTTAAGTTTATAAGTGCTTACAAAAAATTGACAAAAATGGCGATGGAATGGATAACTGCTATGGACAAACGGTGAGTAACTTTATAGTCAGTCTCAAACCTTCGCTCCATATCTATATTCCACATATTAACAAACAAAAAAATATTGGGTTTGCCCATCAAAAAGATGCTTTCAAATTAAATACAATGTTGTAGTTTTTAAAGAGGTTATCGCACAAACAAATCAACTCAATTATGAATAGAATATTAATTGTTGGGGTCTGCCAAGAGCCTTCAACGTATTACATTTCATTCAAACAGTCTAATACGTACCTATATTCTCATCCAATTTCGTTTTAAAATTATATTATATAATACCTGTCGAAATATTTAGATATCGACACTTAAATATAACAATACTCTTTTAATTTTTATTAAGCTGAAATGAAAAGCGCCTGACCATCCAGAAGTTCTAGGTCAGTTAGTCTATTCAATCCCCGTTGATTTCATACTCCAAAAAAAGTTTTTCCGCTCTACTTAAAATGCATAGAATTTTCAAAACATGTACTCGTACAGTCTCATACGGGCTTTTATTTGTTATTTTTCGTTTTCGCGTTTTAAACATCGCTCTTTGGCCGCTGGAACTCTTCAAACTTGAAATCTCTTACTTTTTATTTGCCATACCCACACACACACACACACACACACACACACACACACACACACATACACACACTGACAAGCAAATGAAATGCTTGTCAAGCAATACAGAATGAAATCCAAGCGTAGCTTTTAAAATGTTGGCGTCATGCTCGACATTCATTTGTCAAAAAGCAACAGCTGGGTCCATCATTAAACAAGCTGGCTACCAGCAGGGTCCTTCGACATAAATCTACGCTCACATCCACACATCAAATGGCAACAAAAAGTACACAAGCATAACAAAACGAAAGCTCCTTTTTCAAAACTCATGCTATATTTCAGTTTTGTTTTACTTCATTTCGATTTGAGCGCCATTATATCGTTAAACTCCGATCTAATGGACCTTCCGCTTGAAAAAAAGCAAAGCAAGCAATCAGATTTGGTTCGCTTCAAAGTGCCATTGAAGCTGAAAACTGGGGCCATTGCGGGCCTTTTAAATTTCCTTAAATTTTAAATTATTAAATAGTACTCAAGCATATTTTATAGGTTTGTGCCAGATGGAATAAATCATCCAAAAAATATATCAAGCGCTGATCTTAAAGTTCTGTTTAAAATTCACTGTATTGCCGCTTTCAAAAAGAACGCCTTTAGGTTTAAGGCCAGTCGCAATGGCCACACAATCAATCAGCGCAAGGCTAACAACATAAAAATACAGAGCGCAGTTTTTTATGCTCTGTTCTGGTCAAAAGCATGTGGCCAATCGAAGTACACTCACATACCCGCTTCAAGGCACATGCGTTTCCCAAATAAACAAATACGTTCGACCTGACCCTCCGCAAAAAGGTCACGTGTGAAAAAGGACTTATACTGCACCCAAATGTTGACATTATTCTGATGGTGGAGAACGCGCGTGTGTGTAACTATATGCCTATATGAATGTGTTTGTATTTGAGTCCAACAAATATTTACATACGATTTTGTCATTTAATTTATGAAAGATTCATTGGAAAATCATTTTGATTGCATTTTAAAATCAGCGCAGCAATAAAAGCAAAAATAATGATATTTTGAAAAGCCATAATACAGTATGTGATCGATATAATGAACGTATGTATTTTATAAAGAACAACTCATTTAACAAATTAATAGATACGAAATGAGAAATTACAACCTTTAATATAACCTATGGTCTTAAGACTGTCGACTGAAAATTCGATTTGAAAAATCACTTAAAATATTGAAAAGTTCACTCAATCATGAAGTGTTGGCTTATACACTTAACTCTCAGTAAAGTTTTTGGGTCTAGTGCCATAAGGCTGCTAGTTCCTGCAGCTATGGGGGAGAAGCAACATATATTTAGAATATCATACTCGTGAAAAAAAATCAATTGGCTTGCCACTCTCGATAGCAATAGTTTACTGTATCGATTATGAATTGCAGATATACATTTTGCATATATTTATAAGAAAGCATTACATTGCCGAGAGTAAATACTTTGAATACAACATTAAATCGCCTTATCATAAGCTGAAAATCAATTTGCATTTTAAATATGCAATCATTTTAATGAAACACACTCTATAGTATTTTAAATGTCATACCTTTTGATTCAAAATTGTAACTAATATGAATTAAAATTGTCAGTTCATGTCGATTGCATTTTATTTATGCAATCATATTAACGAAACACACTATATTTTAAATGTCATACCTTTTGATTCAAAATTGTAATTAATATGAACCAAAATTGTCAGTGTGTAAACAGAAGTTTATTATTGAACCAAAGAAAATTGATTCTCAAAGATACAGCCAGAATTGCCGCAAACTTAATTATTTAAATTGAACACAATTAATGGAAGCCCCTACTTCAACATTTTACGCAAGTCGCGTGCAAATTGCCACAACTACATAAAGTCGGCAGCCAAGAGGTCACATTTCAAACGCTCAGCTTGTAATTCTTTGGCATAAAACCTGATAAATTCAGGCGGAGGTACATCTGCAGCGCAACAGTTTAAGTTGTGCGAACGTACTTAAGCTTAAGCGCATAATAAATCCTTGAATGCAAACGTAAAAATACTCTTAGCAGCCTCTGGGCCGAACACAACGCCTGGTTCTCCTTCCCGACCAGAGATACGAGAATTGATATTGATGATGCTGCTAAGAAGTTAACTTAAGTGTGAGCCAGCAATGCTAAGCATCTATTGGTCGCCAGTGGCATGCACATTTATCATACGCCACGTGTGCTGCTCGTGCAATAAAATGGGTGTGCATGAACGTGAATGGGACTTCAATAGCTCTCAAGCATTGTCCTTAGATCCAAAAACATTTCAGCGCGCACAAATTTAAGCGCTCTTAGTTATTTATTATGCAGCAAACTAAGCTTGAGTCCTTGCCAAATTCTGAACAATGCTTACATAGCAATTATAAAAAGCCGCTTTGCATTTTTCTACCAAGCCAATGTCAATGTGTGTTGCGGGGAAAAACCACGAAACGCCATTATGATAAACAACAATGCGTGGGTCGCAACGCTCTTCCGGTTTTGTGTATAATAAATGTGCGTATACAAGCACTCACACACACACACACACACATATATACTTGTAGAGGAGCACGCTCGACCAGCCCATATAGACAAGCACTTCAGACTGGCGCTTTTTGGCTAACGAGCAAGTGAACAAGATGGGCGTGCGCGCACCCACAAAGGGGAACACCAAATTACATCCTTGACTGCCACGCTTGCCAAATGAATTATGTATGAGCCTAGCCAGTGAGCCGCTTTCCTACCATTGTGGTCGGCACCGAGAGCAGCAACAACAGCAGTGGCAACAAAATTGGTCGTCGACCAAGGCAAGGAAAGCAACAACGGCGCCTAAGAGTAGACCCAGAAAGTAACTGGAAAATAGCTTTATAGTGCTTTCCTTTGGCCTTTACGCGGCTGCCGAAGGCCACACAAGGTCTAATACTAAAGTACTAAAGTAGCGTTATGCTTTCGCTGGTTTTGATTTGCATGGAAGCCTGGCAGCTTCTGACGACTTGGTCTTCCAGTTTTATAGAATTTTTAATTAGACCAGCATAACAGAAAATATCAACTTGACTGACTTTTTAATGCGGTGCATTGTTTTTTGTTATTTTATGAATTTAATTGCAAACAAGTGCAGCTGAACTTCAACTACGAGTGGTAGAATTAACTGTGTTGCCGCATTAAGTATATTTTAAAACACGACCGCAATGATGCTCGCTAAAGTTTTTACTGCTTTTGCAGCTAAACTTTTGGCCGCACGAGCCAAGTTTATTTAATTTGCAGTGCAGGCAAGGGCCGCAGAAATTATGAAGTGAAAAGGATGCACGGGTTGTTTCTAAAAATATGTATATTAATCTACCAAATAAGTATCATGACCTGGTAGGCAAACAAGTTCTGCTGCCGTAGACACACAAACAAACATACACTGCCATGAGGACAGTCCTTTTCCTGGTAAGAAACAAAAAAGTTAGGCTTGGTAAGAGTTCTGTGGTAGCGGCAATTAGTGCTGCCTTGCTTTTATTTTTTGCCAAGCTTTTTTTTTTGTTGGCACATTTCCGTTTCCGGCTGTGTTTACCTTGGACCCCTCTTATATTTCCCCATTTATTTATGCATTTTTATTCAAAATGGCAGCAAAGAAAAATACTGAATAAAGACATTTGCATATTTAATTAGAACACACGAACAATTCAACAGACACTGGAATTTTTAATTTGAGCATTGTTTCTCCCTTCGGGGGCTTTATTTTTTAGTCAGCCATGAACTGGCAATAGTTGCAGTTGCAAGAATGCGACACTCTGATTGTGTGCAACAGATTGTGTGCAGTGTGCACTTTAATGTGTTATATTGTCTGTAGGCACAGCATGAACTTGCCCCCATTGTTATTTCACTTAGAATTAATTTAAATTGTCATTCAGTGTGCTTCCTGCTATGGCCCGGCAGGCTTATTGCTGCTTTCCTGCCGTATGCAAAATAGTCTTAACATATTTGGAATTCCATTAATCGCTCGATGAGGAACTATGCATAATAGTTGCTTTGCCTATTTGAATAATCCTTCATTTGGAAATCAATAATTGAACAATTCATTGAAATAAGCTACACTGCTAATGCTAATATGCAGTTTCTGAGTGTGTCGCCTAATATCTCTTATGAGGCCATACTTGCTGCTGACTTTTGAATATTTACTTACAACACCAGGAAATTAGGATGGGAGACATATACTCAGGAACGAACTCACATTGAAGGGTTCCTGTTACATAGCTAGTTGAGATATTCCAGGCCCCAACTTAACCATTAAAATAATTAGTTCACAAAATTAGAATATTTTTATTTTAAAATTTTAAGAAAAAACAAACATCGCAGAGTATATCTGAATTAGTATAGAAACCCCAATTTGGGGTCAGAATGTAAATACATCATTGAAATCCCACAATAGGGAATTTGTCGTTAATGTTTTTCATAAAAACACACAAAAATGATTCTCAATAAAATATAAGCTTTTCTTTATAACTTAGTTTCAGTTTTCTTTGTATCAGAGTGTTGTGAGTGTACTTTTATTTAAGGTATTTGGGTCACTAAACTCGCAACAAGATAAATAATTTTATTGCACACAAATCCTTGAAATTCAATTGTTGCTTTATGGCTTAAGCTATAAATACTTAAGTGTATTTATATAAATAATCGGTGATGCGTTTGTTTGTTTGCTTTTCATATGGCCATGCACAGTCCTTGTGATCGAAACTTACGTGATGTGGAACTAATATCCTGTCGCTTGCGTCGCGTGGAGCCGCTCTGTCGTCTGCCGGGCTCAGCCTTGCAACAGTTGGCCATGTGTGGGTTCTACGAGGATTTAGAAAAGGGTGTAACGCGTAAGTGAGATTATTAATCTTAATTATATGCTCGCTCAAATTCAAGGTCAACCGAAATTTCTGAGTCAAATCATGTCATTACTAACACAATTTTCATCTCCCTTTTCGCTCTCACAGTTTATCGAGCTGGCGAGCAAGGACGCTACTGGTATGCGGTTTTGGGGGGCTCCCTAGAAGTCCGCTACCATGCACATGCTGATGGCGACGGGAAGGTAAGTGCACAACTCTCCCCCAATGACATAGTCAGCGTGTAAACATGCAATATTGCATCAACAGCAAAATATATAACCTGTACGTGCTGCCATAAATATAGTTAGACAATGTCAAACGTTTTATGGCCTCAAACTCACTAAACATCGACAGCTCACGTGCTACGTGGGTGACAAACTAAGCTGTCAAAACGACAAAATGACATGGTAGGAGCGTTAAACTACAGTCCAGCCTGATTAAGATTGATTTCTTTATTTATTTATAATTATTCTTTAATTATATTCTTTTCACCAACCAATCTTATTAGATAGTACATCGAGCTTAAAAAATATTATAGTACATCAATAAAATTCAACAAAAAAACAATAACTTATTACCAAATCAAAGAGCAAATGGAATGAACAGTTCTTGTAGTGAGAGACCTTTTCTGGGTTTCAAATATTTTGAGTTTAGTTACGTTTGGTGCTAAGCTTGATTATAGATTAATTTGTTACGCAATTCCCTTCAAACTATTTGCTGAGCTTATATTTGCGAACTGGTAATTGTAAATTTCCTGACTACTTGTATATTGAAAGAAGTCCGCCCGTCCGTTTTAAAGAAACTTCACTATAATCTATTACAATAGCAACATGAAATATACATCAAGGCTTGCACTCTCATGCTATCATGGCGTTCAATATTCTGTTCGACATAATTGCAATAACAAATATAGCCACAGCGGTAGTGTAGTGTAGTTGTTGTGTTGGCTATGCCCATGACTACCATCTGTTGTCTGTGACGGGCCTTTTAACGTTCCAACTCGCCTTGCGTTGATGGAGTTCATTTTTTTTTTCTTCTCACCTTTGTGCACTGGGCATTAATTTCCGCACGGATATTGGCCTGGGCATTTTGTTGTTGTCGTTGTTGTGCTGTTGACGCTTCTCGATATGCTTCGCTTTTGAAACCAGCCTAGTCGGGAAAAGGTGGATAGCTAGATGGCTGGATAGCTGTTAATTGAAATTGCAGTAGCACAAAGTGGTAGAGCTTAGAAAGGACTTACTTGTGTGTCAGATAGCTGGCAGTATAAGGTACTCGTACTAGTGCATTAAGTCCTAATGGCATGCATCCGAGACACCATCTGCCTACAAAAAGACTTGGTGTGCATGTTGTACAAGTTCATTGAGGCGTACGATGGATGCACTTGTCGCTCTTCTTTTAGCCTGGACATGACAAACAATTTCATTCGACATACACATTTCATTCTGTGTAAACACAATTAAAGGCAAATGCATGTGTATTTTGAATACGAAATGGCCAGATTAAGTAACATTCCGAGCTCAAAGCTAAATAGCTGGAACGTGCAGGAGAATACTTTAAAATAGGGAGGCCACACACATATAGAATACTTTATATATACTATACATTGGCGGGGGGGAAGATAAAACAATAGCGAGCAGGTGTGTAAGCCAGTCGAAGTGGCAGCTGCAGCAAAACCCTTTCGAAACGCAATTGGTTTTAAATATTTTCTAATTTAAAAGCATTTTTGGAAATTCGAACATTTTGCTAATCCTATTGATTACATTCAATAGTGCATGGCAATGGAGTCGACGATATGGTTAGCCATTGAAAAATATATCTAATCAAGCAATTTCATATGTACATTTTGTTTCGATTTATGATAAAAAGTGTTTATTAGCTTTTATTAAAAGTATGTAACTGAAGTAAAAATGAGTACATTCTAAAAGAGTTTGTTGAAACAAATCGATATCGATATGTATATATGCCTGTCAGTCTTTCTGTCTGTCTGTTAAACCTACATGGGTCAGACTTCATCAGGGCATTTTTATAATCTTATTGCATTTTGTAGCTATTCCCATTTATTGCCTTTGTACGAACTTATCATTTGTAATGTTTAAATACAACTTAAATAGCAGAAGCTTCAACCAACTAATGTCGTCTGTGCACAATCTAGAACAACGTTATTCAACCTAAAAGGCCGGTCGAATTGAATCTTAAAATGCATAAATGGCGTTCACCAACGGGCCTGTTGCCAACATTTAAAACATAATTTCCGGTATTTAATTTACACTTGACCCGAAATTCTTGACTCAATTTTCAAAGTGACAAATATTGCCGAAAGAAAATTTGTCATTCTGGACTGTAAATTATGAATGAAAAATTTTAAATATTTATGGCGACGAAGAAGAGAAGTCGAATAGAAATTGTTTTTTTCACTTTATGAAGCAGTGAGTTTAATAGACGAATGGCGCGTGGTGGCGCGTCGAATTAAAGCGTGGCGTGCCACACGCAAAGCCCAATTTCAACAGCAGACGAGGCACAGAAAATCATAAATTTATTGAATTAACCGAGAGGCAGAGCCATGGTATTGTTGTTGTTGTTGTTTATGTTGAAAATTAGGCATCAAAACAATCTAAAAATAAATGCAAGGGAAAACCCGAAAACAAAGACCTAAGGCTGTATCTAGACGAGTGTGACACGCACATCCAAACACAAACACACACACACACACACACACAATTAATATATTTGTATGCATGCAGATACTTAAGTAGATGTTGGCATAGATAATGCAGAGCTCTGAAGATCGCTATCAATAACGCGGCAATTAATTTAAAGTAGTGAGCGCGCGCGCATCAAAATAAAATATATACATACTTGTATATATATGTATGTACATATAGATCCCTGAATGTATGTACGATGTTTAATTTATGTGTGAGTTGCATGTTGGTTGTGACAGCTAGCGCCCATTTGGTGCGAGTTCCGGCGGATTTCCCCCCTTTTGGAGGGGTAGAGTCAGATGGCTCACGTGACACAGAATATAGAATACGGGTGCGAGAGCGCCAACGGAAACAGCGATGATGACTTGACTCACGCATTAGCTAATGTTATTGTTCTTGTTGTTGGTTTCAATTTTCTATTTTCTTCTGCTTTTGCTGGATGAGCTAATTCTTGTTTTGTTTTCATTTTTGTTGTTATATACATATTTTAAAGTATGCAACAACGGTTGCCGTGACAGCGAACTTAAGAAGAGCAGCAGAACAAATTGCATTTAATTTATCAACGTCCGAGTTCAAGTGGCAATAAAGCTACTCTAAAGCCCACAAGATTGCTGCTTCTATCAAGGCTCCAAGGGGCCTTCATTAAAAGTTCTAAGCCTCATTTTAAAGAAACACAAATTGCGCTTGCACCTTGGTTTTGGGTCCGAGTTGCCGTTCGTTGATGTTGCTTTTGGTGCCCTGCATGTTGAAATAATTAGTGCACTTGAAAACCGTTATAATTAAAACCAACATCACCTATGAATGTGCACTGCGAGAAACTTTAATTCACATATAAATGTGTATCTGTAGTTTTAGAGTAAGTTATAAAATTAAATCAGATAAAACCTTTGATTCAAATACTTCAACAGTGAAATAATAATTTTATTGATTTTATTATTAACAGTTTCAATACGATTGCTGTTATAATATTTCTTCGTTATTTCTGCAGATGATTAATAAAACTTTGATCAAATCTATTTACTTAGAATTCAAATTTTTTCTATTATATTAAAATGAATGAACATAAGAAAATGCTAAATGTTGATTGAATTAATCTATTTTATTGAGACTTATATATGAGTTTGTATGAGAAGAGTCCACAAAAAGGACACTAATTTATCAGCCTAACTGAAGCTCATTTACAATGGAAATCCATATTTTTTTGAAGGGAAAACTTAAATATTAAACAAACAATTTTCAAAATTAAACTGAGAATATTCTATTTTCTTTCAACTAAACATAAAAATACCTTCCTGCCTTGCCGATGTAAAATGTTTATTCCCAATGCTAAATAGTTTAATTTAAATTAATTTCTCAAGGATGCTTTGTGGATTAGTAACACTTCGATCAAATCTATTTGCTTAGAAATCAACTTTTTTTTCTATTATATAAGAAATTCAAAACTTTGCTTGAATTTGTAAATTAATCTTTTTTATTCAGGCTTAAATATTAATTTTTATGAGAAAAGACCACAATAAGGAGACTTTTTTATCAACCTAACTGGAGCTCGTTTACAATGGGAACCACTATTTTTTTGAAAAAAAAAAAACTTAAATATAAATCAAACAATTTTCAAAATCAAATTTTGAAAACTGAAAACATTCTATAATCTTTCAACTAAATATAAAAATAACTTATTGTCTTCTTGTTATAAATTGTTTATTCCTAATGGAAAATAATTTAACTTAATTTCTGAGTGTTTTGAAATTCATTTTGATAGATTGAATATAAATTTTACACATACTATACTTTATCAACTTCGCATCGATAAAGAAAACTGTTCCATTGGTATGAAAATGTGCGTTTTTTCTCCAGATGTAGCATTCTCTACGGCCCATTCTGCCCATTACCCAACATCATCAGCACAACACGATTTGTTCGCATGTCTTGTCCATGTCTATTGGCTTCCGCTCACTAGCGTCGCGTTCTTTCTAATAGTCTATTCTAAGATGCTTGTACTTGTCAGCTCTCCAGGAACACGCAGTTCTTGTTCTTGTTGTTGATGTTGTTTTTGTTTTTGTTTGCGAATGACGCTTGAATTACACGATTAATCTTTGTTAGATGCCCAGCTACAGGGACTGTGCGCTTTTTGTACTCTCCGCGCTGGCGTCGGCATTGCCTTAGCCATCATCATCATAATTTTCATAATTTTGGTTGTTGTGCCGACAATGAGCGCTTTTAATTGAAATGATTATATAATTATAGTTAGCAAACACGCCTGCGCATCAATTATGATATTTTCCTAAAGCTATAAAACTAATGAAAACACATTTTACAAATAGAAAAAACTTAACCCGTATATAATTACATATGTGGTACTAAGCCGCTATAGTTACTTCCTCAGACCAAAGCCAAAACCGTATTCTCATTTGGTTCGGCCAAGCACTTTTTACTTTTTTTTCAGTTTTAAGTTCAATGCTTCTCATACTATAGTATATGTATATCCGTAAGTTTTTGTGTAG